TTGTCTTCTTCTTCTTGGTGGTCCTCACTATTGGTTTCTTTGACTACTTTGACCATGGAGGTCTGACTCAGTGTTTTCTGAACAGATGAAGTTCAGATGTGTCTGCTGCTTGAACTCGGCACTGATGTGACTCAAATCTGAAGTGCTGGTAATTTTTTGATTTCAGAGGCAGGTAACTCTACTTAAGTTCTCTGAATGATTTCAAAACAGAGTTTAATGGTTTTTAGAGTTAAAGAAACTTTAAACTTTAAAGTTCTTGATGTTTCTAGATTTACTGACCCTAATGTCTTAAAGCAACGATGGACTGCTGTTTCTCTTTCAAAGGTTTAGTGGTTCTATATGGATTACAGAAGTAGTTAAATATGTGTACTTGCTGTAAACTAACACTACTTCTTAACAACACAACTCATTGTTTCAAAGAAAGCCATTAAGAGGCAAGAAATTCCAACAGTTAACTTTTGATAAGGCTCACCTGTTAACTGCAAACCATTGCAGGTGACAACCTCATAAAGCTATTTAACATGTTATCAATCATGTGCAAAGCTGTCATCAATGCAAACAGTGGTTACTTTAAAAAATATCAAATACATTGGTGGGTCTAAGGAAATCCAGGCAAAGATAGCATTGTCTGGCCCCGTACCTTCCAGTCCCTCAGGTCACAATGAGTAGTTACATTTCTCAATCGAATTACTATTAACACTTGTATCAGTCTTTTCATACGTTAACAGATACTGAGACACACTCATTCATACGATAGCATAAAACCACCCAGGCCACCCATGTAAAAGCTATGGTGCAAGAGTAAATGACTAAATAAAACTCTGGCCTTCTGTCTAGGTAGAAAATGTTGCATCAGAATCATGATCTTGTGATTCAAACACCCACGCTAATGAGATCTTAATGCACTCGTCATCTCCGTTACAGAGGATCTGTTCGCTTACTCCTGTGTTTAGTTTTAGCGCATACCAGGCAGTGACTAACACCATCCACATGTTTTAGCTTGAAGTTCTGCAATTTAATCTGATGATAGATCCCCTTCTCCCACATTCACTTTTTCTTCTCTCCCATGTAGTCAAGTTTCATCATGGTGCGTAATCACAGGGATAACCCTCGTGCTCACAGAATTCCCACACGAAAGTGAACAAAAATGTACGAGGAAATCAGAGGTCTAGCAAAGGAGAAATAGAAGTAAGTTATAGCAGCTTTCAGAATGTCCTTAATGTGGTGCTTTCACAGGCATTATTTAAATTCTGCATATGTATAGCATGATTATATAAAAAGAAAGGAAATCAAATTACCCTTTGGTTTCAATCATTATAAGAATATCAATCTTTCTCTATTAGAAATCCAAACCACAATCTTTCTCTTTGCAAACCAGATGGCTCTAATCCAAGCAAACCTATACAGAAGTATTGTCATGTATTAAAACCAATTTATTTCCCAGCTCTGATCTGTAGTGGTTTAGGAAGGCACATCCAAATGATGTCATTAAAAGAAACAACTACTCATTTGGCTCCAAATTATTGGAATTCACAACACGCCTACACGGCAGCTGCTTCTATTTTTGTCAGAGTTTTCGTCCTTTCTTGCACAAATTTGATGCACTTTTTCATGCCCACCAGAACTGCTTGTTTTATCAATTGTCTATTAATGCTATTATTTCAGCTGATGACCATATGTACACTGAACCAAAATAAAAACACAACACTTGTGTTTTTGCTCCCATTTTTCATCAGTTGAACTCAAAGATCTGAGACTTTTTCTATGTACACAAAAGGCCTGTTTCTATCAAATGTAATTCGCAAGTTTGTCTAAAATTTGTCTCACAATCAAAATGCTGATTAGACAGCATGATTATTGCACAGGTGTGTCGTAGGCTGGTCACAGTTAAAGGCCACTGTAACTGAGAAAATCTTGGAGTTCAGCTCATGAAAATGGGAGCAAAAACAGAAGTGTTTATTTATATTTTTGTTCAGTGTATAGGACTGGGTTGAATGCCCTATTCAATGGGCAAACTCGCCAACAGATTAAAAGGCCCCTATAGCAATTATGAGCAGTTATGATAGATGGCTTAAAACAGAATGGTCTAAATTAAAGATGCAGAGGCCAAAATCCCCCTGTATACTGGATCTGTAATACAGTCTGTTCTCCCTGTCGAGATATTGTACTTGTTCCAATAAATTTTTATAAACCAACAAGACAGTATCAGCGGAGAATTTCATCATCATCTTCACATCATCACTACTCAATGAACAACAGATGTTTGGGGTTTTTTTTTGCTAATGACAAATACTGTCTGTTTGCCATTGGTGACAGATGGCCTGTCACTTGCAAACTAACCACAAAAGATTTTTTTAGTCCAAAAATATGATGAGTTGTAATTTTCATTAAGCTAATTACTGTGGTGAGAGTGAATCAGAAGATACCTAAGCGAGTGTCAGCTTCACTGTATGCATGTAGATACAGAAAAAAAAAGTGTAATACTATCTAAAATCTTGTAAGAAGAAGAAACATTAAGGAATAAATTAGATTTTTAATCTTTGTATTACTTAATGTACTAATATCAATTTTAATGTTTTTTAGTAGAATACAACCATAAATACAACCGCATTATTCGCTCATTATCTATACACTGCTTTATCGTCTGTAGGGTCGCAGGGGGGGCTGGAGTTCCCAGCTGACTTCAGGTGAAGGCAGGGGACACCCTGGACAGGTCACCATTCGATCACAGAGCTACACAGAGAGACAGACAACCAAGGACACTCATATTCACACCTACGGACAATTTAGAATCACCAATTAACCTCAGCATGTCTTTGGACTGTGGGAGGAAGCCAGAGAACCTGGTGAGAACCTACACAGGAAGAACATGCAAACTCCACACAGAAAGACCAGAGATTCAAACTCAGGAACTTCTAGCTGTGGTGCTAACCACTTCAACACAATGCTGCCCACAACCACACTAGTCAATGATGAATTGTTTACACAAGAAATGTGTGATGCCAAGATCAAAATACAGCTGCTAGTATGTCACTCCCCCTTAAGGTTATTGACTTAATTCGATCACTCAAATCATCTAAAGCAAAAGATGTTTTTGGACATCTTTTTCCCCTGTGGGGGTTTTCGGTTCCTTCCCACTGTTGCGGACTGCTGAAGCTTATAGGGAATCCAGATGTTTTATAAAATTCTTTCTCGATAAGGGTGGAGTTGTAGGGGCTGTGTTTTTGGACCTCAGGAAAGCATTTGATACAGTAAATCACTCTGTTCTCCTTACCAAGCTCTCA